TTTTTTTCAAACTGAAGTGAATATGTGAGAAATATTTGAAATATTTTATTTTTGATGTTTGTTTGTGACACTTGAAAATTCCCTGTCACAGTTTACAGAAACGATATACAGGATGAACTTTTTGCTATAAACTAAACTATCAAAATTTTTCAAGAACGGTCCTGGATTCTTCCGATTCTGAAAAAGTCAGTCGATTAGAGAGTAGTAGCGGAATATTCCAATAAAAAATTAGACGAATCATTTCAATTTCATTAGGTATTCCCCTCAGGGGCATCTATTCGTGGTAGGAGTATATAAAGTTCCTCATGACTCACCCTGTATAAAAAAGGCGTTTAAACATTGCGCTGTGATTATGTAACTACAGAATTTGTTAATTGAGGTGTGTTATGGGTCATAGAGGATTCGTTTGTTTTTCAACTATAGTTAAGAGAAAACCAGAAAACTTGATAGATGATTCGAAAAAAGTATTTGAAAAAATTACAAGACATATTTGTGACCTACTTTTGATTCTTCGAGATCTTCAAACAATCGGTGGAACTCAACAGTCTGCTTGATGCCCTTTTTATTTCATTATTCTACGTGATGGAAAACAAAATCGTCGTTCGCCATCTTGTTATCATAATTTGTGCATTAATAAAAATTTGGCTTTTCACCTTATTGAAGCAGGATTGACTTCATCTTTTTAACATTAAACTTGTAGAGTTTTCTTTCTTAAAAATCGTCTTTCTCAGATGAATCTCAACATTGCTAGCCATCATCGAAGTTACGTAAGCGATATCTACTTCAGCATTCTGTGAAACGACAATGCAACCATATTTGTTAGACAAAATCTTGGTAAAAGTTGTTATTACATACGAGGTGAAAATAGGTTAATGTACAATAAATTATCACCTGGTATCTGCTATATTTTCCATTTTCTACCGGTATAATTATAAATCTAGGTAGGTCAGTAGGTATAACAGAACAAAAAATACGAAGAAAACTATGAATCTTCTGACTTACATTTTCAGGATTAAAGTATTCTATATAATAACCTCAAATTAAACACCTAATTTCTGGCTAAACTAGATGCAATTTTTTTATGAAGTCAAGGATTGTTTTTCATTGATTGGCCCTGTATATTTTTATATCCTTCAGCTCAGACGAACTCTTTCGGGTGTATGATAAATTGACATTCATCATACAGGGCGTGGAAAGAAATTCTGAATTGAGACTCTATCACGAATTTGCGATTAGAGGTCTTGTGATTTTTATAGACCTCTAATCGCAGATTCGTGATAGAGTCTCAATTCAGAATTTCTTTCCACGCCCTGTATGATGAATGTCAATTTATCATACACCCAAAAGCAAAAACGTCCAAATGACAGGAATAGAATGTCAACAAATTTTCTCAGATATCATTTCGTTATAGTTTTACTCGGTTTCAGTTGTATTATAGAGAGATGAAAATTGTGTATATCATGAATAAGAATGGCTGTAAAAATAAGTGGACATCATGGTTACTCATGAGGATTTAGAAATCCGAAATGTTTTCATTGCAATAAAGTCATATAACCTGTGTGTGAGATATAATATTTCCCATATCACTGATATGAATGATTATTTTTGGAAGTTTTCAAGCTCATCAAGATCAGAGTTTATGCCAGTATACTTCTCCTATACATTCCAATTTTCATTTGAATGCTGCATATATTGGTAAGTTATATTTCTATATCATTATACATCATATTATTCATCCGATTTGAAGAAGAATGTCAATTCTCAATTTCGGAGGATTTTATTTTTTTATTATTCATGTTCTCCTTTCGAATGTTCATCAGATATAATTCAATGTTCGACGTGGCAAATAGCCAGGAAAGTAGTTGTTTTCTATTGAATAAACTGAAAAAGAGTAGATATTCTCATCACAAAGAGAATGCGAATTCTCAATATATTGCTTCATATAAATATACAGGGTGAGTCATAACTATTGGGACATAGGCTAAGGGCGGATTGTTTGGACCGAAATATGGCGATTGGACCAAACATGCCTTGATAAAATATTGCTGTGAAAAGAGATACAGGGCGTTAAAGTTGATTTTTTTCGTTTTTTGTCGTTTTTTTGCTAATAATCTCACTGTATATGAAATATATTTGAAAAAGTTTTGTGATTTGGTTGCTTTCTGCCTAGATATTAGAGATATTACAATTCATACCTTCTGGCTGCATCCCGCATTTCTTCATTCATAAAATGATTGTGACGAGGCATTTCAATCGAAAAAAATTTAACTATAAACTTGCACCAAAATTCATTCTCTGACAAGAAATGCCATTACCAGCAAAATTATCTGACAGTTCATAGCACACTCTTCATGAATGAAATATAATTTGTAATTTACTTCTGAGACTCTGAACTGTTCAATAGCGTTTTTCTCGAAAACGGATGAAAATATCGTGTTTGAACAAGAGTACCAATATGACGTAGAAATAATGTTTAGGTAATATTTTCCAATCGAAATCACTCAAAAGTTTCGTCAAAAAAAGCAACCAGGCGATTTCATCATCAGGAATCATTCAATCAATCATTCAAAATAATATTCCCTGTATGAAATTGTGCCTCTGTGCCAATTTTGATAACAATTGATGGATATACAGTGAAATTATTGGCAAAAAACAAAAATAAAAAGTCAACTTCAACGCCCTGTATCTTTTTCCACAGCAATATTCTATGAAGGCATATTCAGGCCTATCGCCATATTTTGGTCCAAACAATCCGCCCTTAGCCTATGTCCCAATAGTTATCACTCACCCTGTATATCCATTTTTGTATGTCCATAATTATTTATCTGAGAATATCCCTTTTCAACACTTTCATACCCAATCAGGGGGTTCCAACTTGAACGATAGAAACTTGTGATTTTTATAGACCTCTAATCGCAGATTCGTGATAGAGTCTCAATTCAGAATTTCTTTCCACGCCCTGTATGATGAATGTCAATTTATCATACACCCAAAAGAAAAAACCCTACTTTTTGCCTCTTTTAATTCATATTTTTCAGTGAATTCAACGGTGTATCTGTATAGGTATCCGAAAGTTATTACTTGAGGTACTCTTTTTGTATAAAATGAGTAAAATGTAAGAAAAAAATCAGAATAACCTTTCTATAATAGTTCCATTATTGACTCTTGGTCTAGCCCATGGTATATTATTAAATAGGAACCCATCACTTTTTATTTGATTGTTATACGACGCTATACCTATATAGTGGAGTATACTACGGCCTTGCCAAAAATGCTATCTCGGAAACTAAGCGAGATAGAGGTATAGTTACTTTGGAGAAAATGATCCCCATTTACAATTTATTTACATAGATAATCACTTGCCAATAGAAAACAAAACAAAAAACAAAAGAAAGTAAAAAAAGCACACTCGACTGTCTTGATTTTTTTCCCATAAACTACGTACCTAGCTCACTCGACTGTCTTTATTTTTCGACAATAAACTAGGTACCTAGCTCACTCGACTGTCTTAATTTTTTGCCCATAAACTACGTACCTAGCTCACTCGACTGTTTTGATTTTTCGCCAATAAACTACGTACATAGCTCACTCGACTGTCTTAATTTTTAAGAGTTTTAAATGTTACATAGTTTTGAAAATGGATGAATAATGTAAATTATAGTTTATTTATCATTACTTCATTAACAATTTGCATGAAATTTTGATAAGTGCACTCCAATGAAAATGTTCCACAAACTATAGTTACCTAGTTCACTCGACTGTCTTGATTATTTTCCCATAAACTACGTACCTAGCTCACTCGACTGTCTTTATTTTTCGACAATAAACTAGGTACCTAGCTCACTCGACTGTCTTAATTTTTTGCCCATAAACTACGTACCTAGCTCACTCGACTGTTTTGATTTTTCGCCAATAAACTACGTACATAGCTCACTCGACTGTCTTAATTTTTAAGAGTTTTAAATGTTACATAGTTTTGAAAATGGATGAATAATGTAAATTATAGTTTATTTTTCATTACTTCATTAACAATTTGCATGAAATTTTGATAAGTGCACTCCAATGAAAATGTTCCACAAACTATAGTTACCTAGCTCACTCGACTGTCTTGATTTTTTTCCACAAACTACGTACCTAGCTTACTCAACTATCTTGATTTTTTCCCACAAACTACGTACCTAGCTCACTCGACTGTCTTGATTTCCCACAAAGAAGAAATTTGTTGGCATTGTTTTAACTTTCTTTTGTTTTTGTTTTTTTAGTCCCTATTGGCAGTCGAGTGGGCTAGGTACGTAGTTTGTGTGGAAAAACCAAGACAGTCGAGTGGGCTAAGTACGTAGTTTGTGGGAAAAATCTCCAGTTCTCTGAACTTTCATAGCGTCGTATAAGTACACATCTTTGGTGCCCAATGAGTTTCAATATAAAAATATGCTCATGATATGGTGCCATGGCCTCTACTTCCATCTTACATGAGCAATGATAAAACATCATCTGCTTTTATAGCGTCGTATAAATTATCTGACCTCTATACTAATCTAATACCTAATGAAAACTACATCTATACTAATCTGATACCTTTCAAAAACTACGTACCTCACTTGTTATTTATCAATTATATTCAATAAAAATAAACCCAACTTTTTGCCCCTTTTAATTCATATTTCTCAATGAATTCAACGGTGTATCTGTATAGGTAACCGAAAGTTATTACTCAAGTTACTCATCTTCTTGGATAAAATGAGTAAAATGTAAGAACAAAATCAGGACAACCTTTCTATATTAGCTTCCATTATTTACTTTTGGTCTCGCTCTTGGTATATTATTAAATAGGAACCCATCACTCTTTCTTTGATTGTTATTTTTGAGAAACATGCGCCTGTGGGTATGAAAGAATACAGGGTATTTTATTCAGAAAAAACTGCCGATACCGTCATATCTTTAAAAATATCGAAACAAAAACAGCATAAAAATCCATGGGATTGAAATGCTACTTTACTTACCAATGCTAGCCAGCAGCAGAAGGCACACCTCACTCTTCATCTTTCACTGAAAAAATCACTGCACTTTCCTTTTTTCCCTTCCACTTCAAAGTCTTGAGAACGACTGAATGACTTCTGGAGCGTCTTCCACTTTTGATACTGAGAGAGAACATCACCCGGTGTATGAAAGTTCTTCCACTACCCAAGCCCCATGTCCATTGCTTCAATCGACTTATACAGGGTGAGCCGGTATTTTGGATCGAACTTTCAGACTAATTATTGCTTTAGGCAGTCGTACAAAAAACGCAGCAAGTCATATGTCCACCATTTTTCATTCAATTTTAGAACATGGAAAAGCAAGTTTGATGCTTGTGAAATCAATACAAACTGCTGGTGCAGATAGAATTCTTTTTTCAGAGTAGACCGTATTATAAAACAAAGCATTTTTATGAATGACATCGATCACTACAAAAAATCACATTTTACATTCTAATTTCCGAACGAAAAAATTATTTCCGAAGGCAAGTACTTTTCGTTAAATTGCATGATATTTCGGCAAGCTCTGTTCAAATTAATATAACAAAATGAGCAATAAATATACATATAGATACTAATGATATGTATAAACCAAAAAACCAATACTTCATCTGATTCAGATCAAATTTTTCTTTATTCCTCTGTCATAACATTTCGTTTCTTAGGTTTGATTTTTGTTTGTTTTTATAGTTCGTCTTTCATTGCAGAGTAATGCTGTTCAAAGAGATGGCGCACACATATGTACACGAGTAGTTGGAAATGTGTCAAACACAAACATGGAAATTTTGTACACCACTTATACTGAGGCAGAAGTACCGATAGACCCAAGAAAATTGTGCCCAACTTTTAACACAAATTGCAACTTCGGTATAGTTGTTGGGCAGGATTTCCTTTCTTTTCTTGGGGATTTCCTGGACTATGGCTATTTTCCAGCAAGATGGAAAAGAACACTAGACTTGTACGAGATGGTAAATAACTTGCAGAAAATCGGTATCAATTCTGGTACACACTTTTTGGGAATAATTGATCGATATTTGAAACTCTCATACCACTGTTAGCCAGTTTGGTCTCGATTCACCCTGTATAATAATCATATGTTGCCTCTACCTTAACAATGTATGTAATAATATATCAGATTATCACAGATAACAACGAAAAATTCTGCCAAACTGAAAAACAATGGGTTTACCTTGTCTCAATTCCCAACGTTTATTTTATCTAAGGAAGCCTTGGAACATAATGAATAATTCAAAGTAGCTTCCCAGGTGAATGTTCAGAGTATAAAACAGAAAAAAAGTTACGTTTAATTAAATAAAGATCAAGAGTGCCATCAAAAGTCCTTGATGGTTAACAGGAAAAACTAGGTATAGAATATCGCTGGAACTGACCCAAGCATATTCAATTTAATGAGCTATTTTGATGAATTATGAAAGATGCTTACTGTACTGGTACAAGTATTTTACCTGAAGAAGGTACATAGGTACCTAGTGTGTTAGTGAAACATATCGCATGATTTAATACTTTTCTCTTCTCGTTACTATAAAATAAAAACATAATAGTTATTTACACTACAAGGGAGGCAAGTGATACTTACCAGTCGAGGACATTGTTTGCGCCCGAGCGATAGCGAGGGCTTGCAAAATAGTCCGAGACTGGTCAAGAACACTGCCTCCCGAGTTTTGTATTATATTTTTTCTACTCCAGTTCCCTTAGATTAAAAAAAATGTTTTTCAATTACTTATATAATTTGACTAATCTAACTGAAAAACCCTGTATGTATGACAGGTTTCCTAGTGTTACACGTTGATCGCTATGGAATTCATATTGTTTATAATCAAACAAATGTTCTGTCAGTGTCATTTTATTAAAAAAATCGAAATAATCGATATCGATGCAGTTGCGAATGCAGCTTGTGCTGCTCTATTACCTCAGAAATCGAAGGAACGGTACAATCGGTGTTACAAGGACTTCAAGGCTTGGTGCAGTAATATTGCAAGTGGTGAAAGCATTACCGAGAACTCTTTGCTGGCGTACTTTGTAGAGAAGTCACAGACCCTAAAGTCCCCTGCAAGTTTATGGAGTGAGTATTCGATGCTAAAATCGACGTTATCCATTCAAGACAATGTAGACATTTCCAAATTCCTTAAACTAAAGGCGTTTTTGAAGAGAAAAAATGATGGCTATAAGCCAAAAAAGTCTCAAGTTTTCACGCGAGAAGAAATAGAAAAATTTTTGACAGAAGCCGACGATAGAAGTTTTTTATTAATGAAGGTAGTGATGGTCGTCGGGATTGCTGGAGCATGCCGCTCACAAGAATTATGCGATCTGAGTGTAGAGAATGTCCAGGAAATGGAAAATTTAATTATAATCAATATACCTGATTCAAAAAATGGTACATCTAGAAGATTCACCATCACTGCAGACAAATACAGTAAAATCTGCCATTTAAACATTTTTAAAAGATCTCAAAATAAGATCGTTGGTTGAAAGACCCCAACAACGCTTTTTTTTGAGATACCAAGAAGGCAAATGCTTGAATCAGCCTGTGGGAAAGAACACTTTTTCAGCTATTCCCACAAAAATAGCAAAATTTCTCAGACTGCCTAACGCTGAAGCTTATACCGGCCATTCGTTTAGAAGAACGTCTGCCACATTATTAGCTAACACTGGTTCAAGTGTTTTAGCTCTTAAAAGACATGGGGGCTGGAAGTCGGAGACGGTTGCTGAAGGTTATGTTGCTGATAGTCTTTGCAATAAGAACGAGGTGGCAAACAAAATTCTTTATAACAAGAATAACAGCGATTCAAATTCATCTGCTATTCATCTGCCTACCACATTGACCAGCGCTGTAACAAGAATTTCTGATAACATAAGCACAACAGTAGAAGTGTCCAAACAGCTGCAAGAGGTTTCCCCACATTTTTCAAACTGTAATTTTTCAAATTGTACTATAAATGTTAATTTAAAATAAAGAGTTCAATTTTTAGGTTAAATTATGAAGTTTATTTAACTTGCTTCCCTAGGGAGGTAAATATCTACTTACCTCCCTAGGGAGGTAGAACGTGTTTTCCTCCCTCAAATCAGTATCAAAATGAAGTACTTACCGAGTAAGGAGTAGAAAAATATTATTTCAATATACGTGTAGTAAGGACAAATCAGATAATTTGCCCCAAAATGTCAGTGACAATTTGTATTGAAAAAGGTTTGGAGAAGAGAAATAAAGATATATAGAGAAAATATCAAACTTTCACTTACCTTTGGACGTTTCGGAAACGAATCTGCTCCCGTTTCCAACATAAAAAATGGTTTTCTGAATAACAAATTCGTATTTGTCTTGGAGCTTCTCAGTTCTCTCTGTTAAATCCAACTTGAGGTTAGAAACACGGAATTGAATTAGTATGTTGTGCATGGCACTTCCCCCACAACTCAAAAACAATTTGCCACTACACCATTTTTTCTCCTATTTTTGAAATTATTATTGATTATTAATTGAAAGCTTTCATTTAACTTGCATTGTATGTTTGTATGGATGTGTGTTCGGGTGGAATCTTTGAACTCAATTTTGAAGTAGAAATCTTCAACCGATTGGGCTGAAATTTTGTATACACGTTCAGTTTGGATGACAATGCACGATAAGGTGTGTCACGTTATTCTAAATCCAATATGGCGGACTATCCAAGATGGCGGAATAGCTATTTTTGATATACTTTTACAATATGGGTATCAAATGAAGAGGCTCGTTGAGAGTAACTCGAAAAATGATGTGACGTCATTCTAAATCGAATATGGCGGACCATCCAAGATGGCGGAATGGTCATTTTTAATCTACTTCTACAATATGGGTATCAAAATGAAAGGGCTCGTTGAGAGTAATTCGAAAAATGATGTGAGGTTATTCTAAATCCAATATGGCGGACCATCTCCAAGATGGTGGAATAGCTATTTTTAATATACTTCTACAATATGAGTATCAAATGAAAAGGCTCGTTGGGAGAAACTAGAAAAATGATGTGACGTCATTCTGAATCGAATATGGCGGACCATCCAAAATGGCAGAATGGTCATTTTTAATCTATTTCTACAATATGGGTATCAAAATGAAAGGACTCGTTGAGAGTAATTCGAGAAATAATGTGACGTTATTCTAAATCCAATATGGCGGACCATCCAAGATGGCAGAATAGCTATTTTTAATATACTTCTACAATATGGGTATAAAATAAAATGGCTCGTTGAGAGTAACTCGAAAAATTATGTGACGTTATTCTAAATCCAATATGGCGGACCATCCAAGATGGCGGAATAGCTATATTTAATATACTTCTACAATATGGGTATCAAATGAAAAGGCTCGTTGAGAGTAACTCGAAAAATGATGTGACGTTATTCTAAATCCATTATGGCGGACCATCCAAGATGGCGGAATGGTCATTTTCAATATACTTCTACAATATGGGTGTCAAAAGAAGAGGCTCGCTGAGAGTAAATCGAAAAATCCAGCTAGCGATAACTAAAAATTGAAAAATAAATTAAAAGTAAAAAAAAAATTTTAATAAAAACCTTTCATTCAAACGCTCTAAAAAGGATCTTTTTAGAGCGTTTAAATACAAGCTTTTTATTAAAAAAAATTTCTTTACTTTCAATTTATTTGCTTGTTTACTGAACTATGAGGGAATTCAAATGAAACCATATTCCATAATAATAGTGGAATACACTTTTATTTTTCAATCTAGTCGCCGTGAGCATTTTGATACAATATATATATATATTACAATTTGCGACCATTTTTTTTAAATCTTAACAGTACTTAACAGCTTTAAGGGTTAACAAATAACATATTGATGGAGATGAATATCGAAATACAATCATGTGTATTTTTTTTTCATTAAAAGGAAATCACTCAGTATCTTTACTAACTTGTTTGCAATATCCTATACAACGGCAAACATTTTTCAAGACCTGAAAGTTTTCCCCGTATTATACAATTCGTTTATGTTCATTAGAAAACTGAGAAAATAACACACAAACCGTGAGATCAACTGATCGATAGATCTTCCACAAATATTGAGCACATAATTTTACACTAGTTTATACAGGGTGTTTCTGAATA